AGGATGTTATGTGGGAAAACATGGTAGTCGATGCATCTTTACACGGTTGGAAGGATTGCATGAATTATTAATAGTGATTGGATCGTTTTTTGATGTTGATAACTATTGACCCGTAGTACTTTCTTACAGTATTGGTGACACATGGAAAAACTGCTTGGAGGGGGCAACTGACTTCAAAGAGGTAGAATACGACTCTCTATATTTTCTAGTGTATATGTTGTCGGTTTGACACAAGAAGTCTGCCTAATCAAAAGAGCCAAATCAGAGTTCCCTAAAAAGGTGACCTGCCAGCAGGGTGTCGGTGTTGATTGTGTCTCAGTTGAACTTTTTCTACAATGCAGTTGATTCCAGAGTTTTATGGGACTGACTGTGGCTTCCTGGAGAACAAACTGCGACTCGATTTGGGCCGAAGGCAGAACGGGAGCTTAGTGGGGGATGTTGTTCTCCCTCCATGGGCCTCAGGTAACCTCATCCCATCTGATCCTAATATGCATGTAAACTCGGTTGGACGCTAACCCGATACTCTTGACGCTCTGGCTCTGTTCAACAAAACTACAGTCGCATTCAGCCTGTGTGCTGCTTCACATTTACTGTGTCCTGTTTGTCGTGACTCCAGACACCGGGGATTTTCTTCAAAAGCACAGAACGGCGCTGGAGAGCCAATACGTGTCGGAGCACCTCCACGAGTGGATTGACTTGGTGTTTGGCTTCAAACAGCGAGGCGGTGAAGCTCTCGCAGCTCACAATGGTAAAATAAAGTAGTCCAGCATCATCCAGCCCACCAAAGATGTACAAAGACTCATATTCATCTTGTTATCTTTCAGTGTTCCACCCACTGACCTATGAAGGAGGCATCGACTGCGATAGGTAAGGTCACCCACTGGTTACGTATGAAGATAATTATCACCACATCATGGAGCTAACTTTCCGATTGTCCGAAAAGCATTGAGGACCCCGACCAGAGAATCGGCATGCTGACACAGATCCTGGAGTTCGGCCAAACGCCCAAACAGCTGTTCACCACCCCGCACCCTCAAAGGATCACGCCGAGGTTTCACAACATAACTCGAAGTCCCAGCAGCAACTCGCCAGTCGGCGATCTGTCCCCCGGTAGAATCGCAGGAACACACACGCACATTTAAAAGTGATTGATGCAGCGTCTGAAACCACACTTAATGTCAGATCATCCTATATTATTATTCTGACCAATGGTGCCGATGGTCATTTATATTTTGGTGAACCCTCCCTGGTAGACTAATGTGTTTTCATGTCTGTCCAACTGGATTATTTGTTGACTGGTCATTTTAGTCAGAACTCCTCTTTACGATGCATACATTGTTTGCGTAAGCAGCATCCACCATTGTCTGAAGCAGAGAAATCTCTTCTCCTCATGTACTGCATATATAACCGCATTTGTCGCTGTGCTTCTTTGGAAGCCTCACAGAGCGAGGACTCGTCCTTCGAAGACCTGACCGAGGAGAGCAGGAAGTTAGCCTGGGCCAACATGGGAAATCTAAAACCCATCTCCAGCCACAAGATCCATAAAGAGTAAGTCAGGCTGCATCCAGTTGAGACAACCGATAAGGAGGAAGTGAAAGCAAAGCTTGATGTCGGCAGGCAGCTGCAGGAAGAAAAACAACAGCTAATGCAAATATATAGTAAGGGCATTTTTAGAAGGGGAACAGCTGTGGACGGCTGGCTGCCATGAAACCACTTCCTCCACTTCAGGGGAAAAATAAACCACTCTGGATTTCTAAACTTTGCACTTCTTAAACCTTTTCTGTTGCAACTGTGTTTCCGTCACCGTTGTCTTTGCTAATTGTATACCCATCATTTTGTTGTGGATATTTAAGTATTCCGTTTCTGAATTACTGTTCTGCATGTGCAGGGCTGTCACAGGCATCGCTGTGTCTCATGATGGATCGGCTATCTTCTCCACATCTCAAGGTCTGATGAATGGATTAAATGAATTAAGAGAGACATATTCATTATCGTAGAGGCACAAAGAGGATTGATAAGAACTACAGTTTCGTTTTAGTGAGGTCTGATTTGTGATGAAAGATTCTTCCCTATAATAACTCAATGTGTCTTTTACAGTCATGAAAGACAGTTTTTCAGTGTTTGTTAAAGGCTCTTTAAAGTAGCGCCTTTATCATCATTTTCTGTGACCATTGTGAGATGAGATTTTAAACGTTGTCAGTATTATCAGCCACTTCTGCCTCTAGTGGCCCTCTGGGCTTCTTCTATTACCACAATGGTGCAAAGTGACGTCATTGCAGTCAGAATTTCACAAAGGAATCAAAGGAAGGGCACGACACTTACAGTTAGGATTAGTTTTCCCATCGGAAGCCGTGAGGTTACAGTTGTTCATGTCGAAAGGGGCGAATAAGACTGCAGATCGGTGCCAGTGATCACATTCAGTTTAGTTCATGTGCTCGTTCACTGTAGTGCTTTTTTCTCACACATGTACTCTTTTACCCGTCTGTATCTCTCTTCATTCCAGATACGACCCTTAAAATGTTTTCCAAAGAGCTGAAGGACTTCCAGAGAAGCATGTCCTTCTCCAACATGGTACGCACCTTGACCTACTTCCCACTTCACCCTCCAGCGATGCTGACCTCCCTAAACAAGCTACTCTACTGCTCTTTAACAGGCACTGTCCTCGTGTCTGATGCTGGCAGACGGCAAAACGGTGGTGTGCTCTTCCTGGGACAACCACGTGTATGTGCGGTCATCGGCTACATATGATTTTCATAATGATCTCCATCGCCTCGCACTGACCCAGCGTGTTTCTCTTCCTTTAGTTATTTCTACTCCGTCCCATTCGGCAGGCGGCAGGACACCCTGATGGGTCACGACGATGCAGTCAGTAAGATGTGTTGGTTTGATGACCGCCTGTACACCGCGTCCTGGGATTCCACCGTTAAGGTGAAAACTAAAGCCAGTCAACTGTCTGTGAAAACTGCTATTAATACACAATGTCCGCTAACAATATTAAATTATAGGTGCACTGTTTTGGCGCTTGGTTACTTTATGGCTTGTGTAAGTGTTCCATTGAGAGTTGATCTTGTTTCCCAGGTCTGGCAGTGCGCTTCTGATGGCTCATCCAGTCATAAGAGATCTCAGTTTCAGCTGCTGGCGGAGTTGGAGCACGATGCCGGGGTCAGTGGGGCAGCTATGTATTTTATTTTTATTGCCTTTATTCAGAGTAGCTTGAACGGGTTGAGACTTGCATCCGAGTGGCAGGAGCACTCAACATATACAAATGAGTTTGCCTTATTAACCATCGCTTGTGTTGCCCCTGTGGAAAGGTGAACACCATTGGTCTGAATCCAGCGGGGACCCTGCTGGTTTCTGGCTGTAAAGACGGCGCCGTCACCATCTGGGACACCAGCAGCCACGCAACACTGCAGCAGATTCACTGTCACACGGGAACCATCCACCACGTGGCCTTCAGCCCTGGTACGTGTCGAATAAAGCCAGTGTGGCACCTTTTTAGTTTGGGTTTACTGGTTCAGAGTTTAAGAAGTGTTTATAGAATCCAACCTTCGTCTTTCCGCCGACTTTCAATATGACCTTTGTTTTGAGGGGTCAGTATAGAACAGAAGTTAACACAGGCTTAACTTAAGAACCTTTGACATCCTCAGATAGCCGACACGTCCTCAGTGTCGGTGCCGACTCGTGTATGAAGGTCACTGACGTCCAGACGGGGATGGTGATCTCGACTGTGAAAGCGGTGGAGGAGCAAAGGTAAGACAACGGCCGGTGGAAAGGGCCCGACCGAGAGGTCAGCACCTCAGAAGGCCAAATTTATACTTATGCTTAATGTTCTAAATCTTATTTTGATCTGGTGTAGTAGTGTCTACATTCCTAACACTAACTGGAGAGAATTATGTTCAAAAGACCTCAAAGCCTATTTTTTGCCACTACGGCAGCATTTATCCCCCTCAAAGGACGTAAACCCCTTTAGACCGAGTCATACAGCTGTAAGGGGTATATTTAAATTTTGTAAATGCGGTTGATACTGCAACTCAAAAGGATTTAACGTCCGTGGTTCCAGGTGTTTCTGCTGGGACGGGAACTTGGTGCTGTGTGGGGGACAGTCAGGGGACCTCCTGCTGTGGGACTTGCTCAGCAATACAGTCATCCAAAGGATCCCTGCGCATTCAGGTACATCTTACATGGTTAAGCACCCAATCGTAGCATATTGTTTGTTACATTATTGCTCCATATAACAGCTTCTTCTAGCTACTAATTCTACATGTGCATATCCATTTTAAATCACCAGCTTGTTGCAATATAATAAAGTAGGGTTTTTAAGTTGTCGTGACGCAAAATATGTTCATGTAAAAATGGTGTCTTTGCCCAGGTGCTGTCACGGCGATGTGGATGAGTGAGCTGTGCTCCACAGTGATCACAGGCGGAGACGACAGACAGATCATCCTCTGGAAGCTCCTGAGCCCCTGAGGACTGTTTCCACACCTTGTATTTGTTGGGCGGACTCCCAGTGCAATATACTGGCAAAGTATCCTGCAGCACCCAAACTGTCTGACTTTGAACAGGGACATAAAGTAGCAGGACTTAAAACTGTTCAAAATCCAGAGAAGAGGGTCCCGTTAGTCCAACGCTATCCGCTTATTAATACAAAATGTATTGCAGTTTCTTGCACGATAGCAAGGAGCTACAACAATGTACACATGTGGATTGTTTTCCAACTGTTATGTTTAGTCACCAAGTTACACACGGCTTTTTAAAACTTGTTTCTTTAGCTTTATGTGCAATCTGGTCTGAAAAGTGGACTTCAAATGTCTGTCAAAAGCTTCAGTCTGCGCTGGTGTTAATATTTATAAAACACTGATCTTTAAAAGTATTATTTCCCCATCTCCTTTTCGTTTGTCTTGTTTCAGGCTAAGTATGTTTCAAACACTCAACATTTAACAGATAGCGGCAAAGCTTCTGGTGTCATTTCCACAGATCATCAGCTACACAGTGAGCAGGGACATTTTTCATCCATTTCTTTTAATGAAAGCTGGTTATAATGGTTTAGCTGGTGCTTTTACTGTAAACATCTTCACTTTTTTTAATACAAAAATAAAACTTAAACCACATAAACCATCAGATTTGGTCAGTCACTGATTAGATAAACTATAGAATCTACAGACATTTACATGGTGAATAATATTTGACTCAAATTACAAATCCCCCTGCTGTCTTCTCATGGGCCTTCCTTCCAGTAGCCAATGAGAAGTGTGCAAAATGATACAGTAGTGAAGCTGCATCCGTTCTCATTTCTGCTACTGAGCACTTTTCTGTGGGGGGAAAAAGAAGGCGTCATGTGTCTCATGTAAGTACGTTTACATTTTCTATAGTAGTACAACAAACAGATGAAAGTATCTGAAGAATTCTGCCTCACTTTAAATGCTCCTTTGCGGAAATTGCCAATGAATTTAAGTAGTTTCGGCGTTGGTGGTTTTACTGCAAACAGTGCGTTTCCTTTCGGCTTCTCCTCAGTTTTAGCAGCCGGAGGGCCTTTGGCTTTGGTAAGTTTCCTTCACAATCACCCAGACACATTTGTTAATAAGCTACAATACGCACACATTACTTGGCACAAGGTTGTTTTTTTTTGAGGTTGGTGCAATATAAAAATCACATGTTAATATGGCGCCAAGAGACTGGATTACTCACCTTCCCTTCCTGGCCAAGACTTTCTGAGACTCTGGGTAGTGGATGAGGATGTCAAACAAGTCTTTCTTCTCCAGGACGAAAAGGTTCGCAAAGCCGTGAGCTTTCACATTAGCTGTGCGCCTGTTTCCTCCATCTTTGGCAGACTGTAGCAAACTGGGATAGGGTGAAATACCATGTGACCTGCTCCAAAAACCCTTCTCTTTTGGGAAATTGTATTGACAGTACATTGTAACTGCACTGCGATGTACGGTCGGGAGAACAAGTATTTGATACAGTGCCGATTTTGCAGGTTTTCGCACTTCAAAGCATGTAGGAGTCTAATTTTTAACTTCGGTACTCCAACTGTGAGTGACGGAATCTAAAACAAAAATCACATTGTATTATTTTGCAGTTTATTGCATGACGTAAGTATTTGATCACCTACCAACCAGTAAGAATTAAGTCTCTCACAGACCTGTTAGTTTGTCTTTAGGAAGCCGTCCTGTTCTCCACTCATTACCTGTATTAACCACCTGTTACCTGTAAAAAAGGACACCTGTGCACACACTCAATCAAACCGACTCCGACTGCTGCACAATGGCCAAGACCGGAGACCTGTGTGAGGACATCAGGGATAAAATTGTCTCAAGGAGTCGGCCAAGATCTCTGCTGCAGTGTGCAAACCTGGTCAAGAACTAGTCAAGTCAAGTCATTTTATTTTGTATTGCCCATAATCGCAAATTACAAATTTGCCTCAGAGGGCTTTACAGTCTGTACACATACAACATCCTCTGCCCCGAAACCCTCCATCGGCACAGGAAAAACTCCCCAAAACTACAGGAAACGTATGTCTGTAATTGCAAACGGATTGCAAAAGGTTTACCTAAGAATACCTATGATAAAAATGATAGACTCCGCATGCTTTGAAGTGGGAAAACCTGTAAAATCGGCAGTGTATCAAATACTTATTCTCCCCACTCTACATCTATGTACACCATGCATTGGTACAGCTCATTTATTTAAGGTGAGAAAGTAGCAACAGAAATAACATACATTCTCATACATGACTTACTACCAAGCCCATCGGTTACTTCAGATAACTGTCCTTTGGTGTTTTGCATGTTCTAGTTGTCGCAAACAAACCTGATTTCTCCGAACACGCAGCCGGCCTTCAGCGTGACGAACACGATGCTGTTGTCAGGTCCCCCCACCACCTGCACCGCTCCACTTTTGATCACGTACATCTCTTTACCGATGTCGCCCTGCATGAGGGAAATGCATAACGTGAAGTCCGCATTCCACTCAAATATTGAAACCTTTCGCATGTCAGCAGTTGCAATTTGCTTCATGAGGACTGCCCAGCTCTATCGTTTACAAACACATTTACTCACTTTCTTAACAACAAAGTCTCCGGGGAGGTAGACAATTGACTTGAGCCTCAGCAACATATCCACCAACATCTGCTGGTCACAGCCCTGGAAGAGAAAGTATCAGGTATTGAGTTTATTGTGCGATGGGTCACTCGTTCAAAACACAGAACCCAGTTTAATTCTTTCAAATTATAGGAGGACACAGTGACTTTAGAGTCACCTGAAACAATGCGATCTTCTGGAAGGTTGACAAGTTGATGTCCACGGCGATGGCAGTTTTCATCACCAGAGGCATCTTGTCTAGCAGCTCCGACTCGTCTAGAGGAGACATCGATAACACAAAGCAAATTCATCAAGGATCTCCGATATTGCCTTGTCATGCTGATACTATTCTGGATTACGTCTTTGCTTAAGTGTCAGTTTTCTTGGACTTTGACTCACCCAGCATGCCCTGAGCTGACCAGGTGTAGTTGTACCAGGTCCGGATTCTGTTCTGAACAACCTTGGGGATATTGTAGGTATTCATGTAGTCAACACAGCCATCCATGGATGCCCTGAAATAGGTCTTCCCCGCTGTTGCCGCTCCTATGACATCTCTCATCTGAGAGAAAGAAAGACGGGTGGACAGGATGTGCAATATGACTTATGAACTCAAACTTAAATCATCCTCCAACGTACCTGTCCAATCAAACTGGAGAACACAAAAACGCCAATGAAAAAGTTGGCCATCTGAAAAGATATCTCGAAGGTGGTTATTGGCTCTGGAAGACCACCGATGTTGATTAGACTGCGGACTGCGTAGTAGTAACAACGCAGGTACCTGTGGAAGGACACAGTAAGTCTTAATTTGAAAACAATATTTAATGCCTGGCCGTCGTATGCTTCCACCAGACAACACACATCCAAGTCTTTCTAAAATGTCATCACGTTGTTATATCATTGGAAAGTAATAAGGCTTAGTATATTATGTCATGAATGTTAAAATGGTCAAATATAGTAGGCCATCACCTGGAATTACCACTTGTATGCTTCCGCCAACCAGTCAAATTGCAGTTTTCACCGTGTCCAAAATGTAGACCTTCTATTCAAATTTAGACAGTGGAACATGTTTGTACTTGGCATATGAATGCCTGGCTAAAGGCATGTTTTGAGTTAAAAAAATGATTTGAATCATCCTTGATTACATATGTCTTGGAATGACCTTCACAAGAATGGGACGAATGAGAGGTCACATTAATGTAATTACTTCATCCTGGAATCCAAGTTGACAAATTGGGAGAAAAGTCTCTACAGGCCCGGGTTTGCACCACAGCGGGACAATAATTATACTCGTCCTGAGAAGACCTGTTGTCAACGAGCATGGCCGTAGGACCATAGGGAGGAACTTTCAGCACCATGGACAGAGACACAGTCAGCGTGGTTACATGGATTCGAATAACTGGCTTAGTCGGACTGAAATCGAATTATCCATTTCATGTAAACACCTTTGTCCGACTATGTGCGGTCCGACTACGATCCGACTAACACCCCTGGATAACTCGATCCGATCCAGTTGATAGTTCGACTATTGCGGCATGTAACGGTGAATTGGATAAGGAACTGGGCTGCTTGAATTCCCCATGTACCTTCGGCGACGGCGTCTTCTCTCAGTTATCAAATCAGCCAATAGCGCCATTCGCATTCGCTGTGCTCCTATTAACATCATGCACACATAGTAGAGGGATGTAGCTTCACCTTGCTCTCCTTTCGCCATCTTTCTCGTAATGTTGATGTTGTTGTTGTTGGTTGTTGCTGGTAGTGGTGAAGAGGTCAAGCGGAAATGGCTGTATCACAACTAGTTGTAATGAAAACAGCGCCACCTATCGTATCGGATATGACATGCTTTCGGCCAATGATTCGATTTATTCACTGCCATGTATATTGGGATAATAGCATCTCCCCCCGAAAGATAGCATAGTCCGACTAAGCAAAGATTTGAATTATACCATCATGTAATCACACTGAAAGATATTGGCTCTTTCGCAGCACATCCATAACATCACAAACCAGAAAAAGAAGAGAGTACGTACGCCGTTCCCTCTCCATTATACACCCACGTGGTCGACTTAATACCCTGGTACATGGAGGCAACGTAGTACGCACAGCTGTTGAGATGGAGGGCGTAAAGTAGGTAACCTGTGGTGCGAATCACTCTGCGTTAGAAAGACAGCGAAATAAAAAAAGATTAGAAGGGACTGGACTGACCGGTGAGTGGTGTAATGGTCGTTTTGGTCACTGATATACTGGGAAACACTGACTAAAGTTAAGTTTACAGGAGTACTTACCTCCAGATGTAGGCCTTGGCCATGATGCTCTCGAGTCGATCACTAAAGTCAAAGAAGGACTCAATCTGGAAGGCAAACAAGTGATGCAAGACACATTAAGCTTTTCTCCCATGAATACACTCTTATGTCCTTTTGGTTCCTTGTGTGCATCATTAGCAAAACAGGACCAGTCGGTTGCCCACCCTGATAAAGCGGTTGACTCTGTATACGGCGGAGAACTCAAAGTACAGGCAGAGAAGGTCAAAGGGCAGGACGCTGATGATATCGATCTGAAAAGAGAGGAACATTTTTTACATTTATTTGTATTCCTAACATTCCATGATCTGATTGGTGTACACGAAAGAACATACATGGTTGCTGGACAAAGTAAGATTTGAGTGAATAAAATGATTTCATAGCAGTAAAAGGTACTGATCTGCTAAAAGTACTTAAGGTGTGAAATTTAAAGTAAATGACTGATTTATTATTATATTACATTGTCAGATTGTTAAAATTGCATTATAACAGCATTTAACCCTAATTTGAGTCCCTTTAGTCCAGGGGTTCCAAACCCAGAGGTGGGGTACTCCCAAAAGGTCAGAAAGGTCATGAATCAATTAAAGAAAACATAATTTTGAGACACAAACACACAAAATAATGCTTTACTTATTTAGGATGCCGATATAATATCTAACTAGACCATTGCATTGCGTGACATGTCCTCATGATAAGCCAGATAACAGAAGAGGAGACAAAATGACCTGTGGAAATGTAGCAATACGATAAAAGTTTAATTGCAGTACTGTGTATTTAGCTTCCTCAAACGGACAATCTCACCTTAAATCGTTGGGATTTCCGATAATATACTTTAGCCATAGGTCCGCTTTTCTGCCGGGGACAGACACATCACACAGGGGTTAACAGCTCCGCTGCACTTTAGATATGCAAACTGTCATGGACGCAGATCAAACACGTCATTATTTTTCATGACTTACAATAACGTCTCCAGCTTTGACAAACTGTAGCCGGGGCTGCCAAACCATGATGTCAATAATATTCACTGCATCACTAAGAACGTCAAAAGCGATCCAGAAGGGGTTGGTGGTTTCGTTGTGGAAAGGGAAAACCATCCGCGCAGTGCAAAACCAAACGTTGTAGTTGTAGGCCAACGCCACCAGGGACAACCAGGCAATGTAGCGCCGATCTGGAGAGAACAGACACGCACATCGGTTTTGTGTTGATGGTTGTTTAATGTCAGCCGGCACGTCCCCGGCGTGCAGCCTACGTACCTAGAGGATCCAGGGTTTGTCCCAGTGCGCTGTCCATGAGTCGCTCGATGGGACGGAAGAGGACGTCGACGAAGGAGCAGCTGATGTCCGGCAGGATCTTGGCTTTCTTCTTAGCCTCCTCCGCCAGCCTCTCCTCCTCCGCTGCCTTCTCTGCCTCCAGCCTTTTCTCCTCGTCCTTTTTCTTTTTCTCCTCTGCCTTCTTGGCGGATTCCTCCGCCTTCTTTTTATCCGCTTCTTCTTTTGCAATTCGCTCCTCTTCCTTCAGTCTGATGTAGTCTTCCTTCTTCAGAATAGGTGCTGAGCAGACCAGGAGGGTGATGGAGAGTTAGGTGGTGCGCTGGCCGTGTTTGTGAGTTTGTTTTCTGTCTGCATGTTGCTTTGTGCGTGTCCATACTTACTGACAGGTGGGGTGATTTCTGGCGAGGTGGCATAAGGGTCTATGGCTTTCTCCTTGAGGGTCTCCTGCCGCTCCCTCAGCGTCTTGATTTTGTCTCTGAGCGCGTCATCGATTCCGCGGAAGTAGACAACAGGTGGAGGAGGAGGGGGGGGCGCATCACTGAAAGCATCAGGCAAAGCAAAGAGAAGACGCAAAATAGTTCATGTTATTGTCACTGTTAAGAAAAAGAGACATAACCCATATACATACATATAGTGATAGCATAACATGGCTAGGTGAAGCCTAGATGGGCGATGGGCGGTACTAGCTCAGGTGTCTCTGAGTGTCCCTCACAGGTGCTGTGAATCACGCAGCCAATCAGGAGCCTGTTTTAAGCCTCACGGGGGAAAGAGACGATTTGAGCCATAGGAGAGCGAACACCAGAGGCCGTGCAAACCAGCCGCAGGGTAAGAGGCCCGCGGCCTGCCCAGACACTATTGAAGAGGATAAACCTCTCTCTCTCTCTCGCCACAGGAAGAGTCCGGCGGAGCCCCCCGACCATCCCGGTGAACCTTTCTTTTGAGTTAGTTCCCCCCCCTCGGATTATAACAAATAAACTGTTATGTTCACCGCAACTCTGGATTTCGACTGCTTGTTTTTCCAGCTCAGACACCCACTGGTCACCCTCGTACGGCCGGGCGCCCGCAATATATATATTAAACACGTTGGACTTCTTTTTCCACCTTTATGCAAACCTCAGAGGAAATTGAGAATTTTATGAATATATAATGTTAAAGCAATCCCCTTAATTCTCTTTCAGCTATTTTTCATTTCCCAATAAAAAGTGAATTTAAAAAGTCCTGAAATCCTCCTCAAAGGAGCAAATTAAGGCTTTGGGCATTTCACTTGCATGTGAATGCTCTTAACTAATTGTCAAATGCCACTAAGCTCCTAATCTGCTTTCCTACTGGGAGTCACAGGCTGTCACACAGGCGCTATGTGAGTATTTATGTGGTGCAGCTATGCAGCTACTAGTATTCTGTTCATCTTCACTATCCGTTAAAATTGTTAATATTTGAAGATTTTATTTAACGTAGTTTAGATTTAAATGGCGGATAAGTAGTAACAGAAATTATGTTAATAATAGAAGCAACAAAGTCCCAAGACAAAACTAATAATCACACTATTATTTACTTTGTTGAACTAGCTGATAAACTCAGAGTTCATAGTAGTCCAGTTACAGTTCACATCTGTGGTGAAAATAAAAAAAGTTTGTCTCCGGTGATCAAAGAGAACTTGAGGACGTGAGTATTAAAATGTGGAAGTATGACTAAAAAGCAAATGTCCTGGCATCATTTGTATTTCAGAAAAAAAAAGGAATTCAATTAATCTTTTGAAAGCATGAAATGTCAGGACAGTACTGACAAGCCCGTCCAACTGCTCAATCTGTGCAGCGCCGCAAGGGACTGGAGCCTATCGCTAACCACAATACCTACAGAACAGGATTCTTACCCTTCAGCTCCATCTGGAGTGACAGCAGGAGCAGCAGCTGGAGCAGGAGCGGCAGCTGGAGCAGCAGCAGCAGCTGGAGCAGGAGCAGCAGCAGCAGCAGCAGCTGGAGCAGCAGCAGCAGCTGGAGCAGGAGCAGCAGCAGCAGCTGGAGCAGGAGCAGCAGCAGCAGCTGGAGCTTGAAAAATAAACCAGAAATCTTACAACCATATAATTTTGTCCAGGACATTAAAGATAGGAACCACAACCTTCTCCACTTCTCCACAAAGGTAAAGCTCCTCGACTAACCCCTTTATCAAACTGAGTTTTGGAAGTAGTTTAACGAAGAGTCTTCGGTTGAGTCCCAGGTTTAGTCTTTGTGTCTCTTTAAAGAAGTTGGATTGTGGAAAAACTACAGAGATACTCCAGTTATGCAGCGCAATGTCATTCAAAAACGTGCTTGTTTGCTTTTATGCTTGTTTTACTAGTTACATTCATCCAGGCATCTGAATGCAGTGATGGACGATTTTAACAGTGTACATTAGTGCTGTAGTGTTTGAGAGAGAGAGAGAGACAGAGAGAGCGATCCATTCAAACCAGTAGATCTCTCACCTGCTTTTGGTTCCTCTTTCTGCGGTTCTTCTTTCTTCACCTCTTCTTCTGTCTTTTCTTTTTTGTCTTCCGTCTTCTCGTCTTTCTTTTCGTCTTCTGTCTTCGGCTGCTCTTTGTCGTCCTTCTTTTCAGGGGGCTTTTCTTCCTGTGAATAAACGATATCGGTATATCGATAACAATATTATGCGCACACTAACGGAAAGGGCCCAACAAACATGTCTAATTTAAAGCCTGCTGTGGATCCTTAAGCATCTAAGTGCTAAGTAGGTTTTACTTTTGACTTTTTATGGAACTGTTATAGTTCATCGTCAGTAGTGTCCTACTCCCTCAGACTGAGGATGCAGTGCCAAGCTGTTTCAAATGCTTCCTTTGATCGGTTTCACCTGCCAAGGTTTGCCTTTAAAACCATCCCGGTGTGACGAGCAGGCAGCAATACCTGCACCCGGTTAATAAGAAATGAAATGAAATTCTTGTGTGTGATATTGGGAAGAGGCCCGGCCTTACCTTGGCAGGTGGAGGTGGGGTAGGAGGTGTGGCCTCAGCTTGCTCGGGGGGAGGCTCCGGACCCCTCAGAAACGTTTTGAACCTGCTGAACATGGCGGTTGTTGTTGTTGTCGGCGTCAGCAAACCGGCAACCAGCACCACTTCTCCTCCCGGAGACGCTTTACAATGTCGCTCTCAGACGCTTACACGAGTCCCTTAATGCTTTGTAGTCCTCAAATCCACACAACAGACTGCTGCAATTAAGTTTCTGAGAAGCCTTATCGCCTTCCGGGCATGTGTCTTCCTCCTGGAGCCAACATCAGAGCTGCCAATCACCGCGAAGCAAGTGTGGACCGTTTAAGATGCCTCGTTTTAGGCCTAATTACTTCATTTGTTGGCAAAATGTGCAATACAAGTGTGTCTTTTAATAATCAATGATCAAAGGAAAATATGAATCAACAAAAATAGGTTAGGCATGGGATATATTTTCATTAATACAAACTGGTCATTCATTCTGCCATTTAGTTTAATTAAATAATACAAGATAACTGTTCATGTTCCCTTTGCATTTTCCACGGAACTGATTTCATTTTTAAATATATCTAATTATGGGATAACACACAATCTACACGGTAGACATTATATTATATTATTATTACAGGTCATTTAGCTGACGCTTTTATCCAAAGCGACTTACATTTAATTTTTACAATTAACAAGTAACAACAATTACAATTTTACATTCAAAGGTAGATGATGTAGAATTAGGCTGTTGGGGTTATTTTAGTCCACTCTGACTAGTTCACGAACACAGAGGCCACTTAGTTAATTAACTCTCACAATGTTCCTGGCTAACCGGATTAGTCTCTCTCTTCCCTCTCTCTGTCTCTATTTCTCTCTCTCTCAAATATTAACAGAAAGGAAATCAATTAAAATATGAAATCATGATATTCTGACAGATAATCTCTGTTAGACTTTTACAAGCACTTTCTAAAGATGTGCATGGGCAATCTGAAAATAGACGATAAAAGCAGCCAAACAAAACCAGGCGAGTAGATCAATATCAAACAAGCATTTTCCAATAGTATTTGTGTTTAGTAGACAGATTCAACATTTTGCACATAGATAGTTACTTTCTATCGTATGAAAGTAGTTTGTCTAATACATTTATAAGGTTTAAATCTGCTTGTTGTCTTCGATGGGTGTTTTTTGTTGTGTGTTATCTGCTTGCATCACATTCAAACATGTCAAACAATATGGGAATTTACGCTTAAAATGACAGGAAACACACACTCAGTACAAAAGAGTAAGTAGTTAGAGGCTGAGAACAAAACTGCCCATTCACTCCCAAAAAGGAGTATTATAAAGTTCACTTTATACCTCACTAAATCCTCACTGGCCACCAGCAGCACTCTGGGGAAAAGGAAACACAAAATATGGGTTTAGCAATCAGCATACTTACAACAGCTTCTGTACATCACTGCACATGAATGTAGAATACTACCTTAATTTTGGCCAAAAAGTTCTTTCCACCGAAAGCGCGCAGCATTTTGGGTGTTGGTGGTTTGGGTCCGAACAGCACCAGTCCTTTCTGCTTTTCCACTTCTGCTTTAGCCGCTGCCGGACCCTTCGCCTTCATGAGCTTCCTGCACACGCACGAGCAGAAGAAGCTTGCTAAACAAACACCCTCTGACATTATGCATGTATCACAACGCTTGTATAACATGAAAAGCGTAGAATTGGCTTATACTATCTCTTAAAAGTATAAGAAAAAAAAGAACAATTTGCTGCTGAAAGTGATTTATGAGAGAGAAGTTGCATGTAGGTAAAAACTGTCAAGAGCTGCATGAAAGGTGAACAATTGTAATAATTTTTAAGTCTTTTTAATTGTTTAAAATAACAGCTTAAACAATAAATACTTACTACATGACTACATTTCACATGCATGTCAGAGTTTGTTGATTATCCTCACTCAAAGATGGTGAAAAGATCATTCTTTACATTGGGGAGAGTGTGCGCGATTTACTTTCTCTTACACTGTTCCTTTCTGCACTCAAAACTCACCTGTTTCAATCTGATTTTAATCTGAGTTTTTTACCAATATTATGTCATCTACCTGCCGTGTTTAGACGGTTATTGATTCTGTCATTTGTTTGTGCCATGTAAAGTGCCTTTGAGTACCTTTTAAAGCCGTATAGAAATAAAGTGCATTGTTAGTATTGCATCATCAGCTTAGTGTGCGAGACAGGTGTTAATCTTCAGGCCTCTGACTCACCTTCCCTTCCGGGCCAACACTTTCTGAGACTCCGGGTAGTGCACCAGGATGTCAAACAGGTCTTTCTTCTCCAAGACGAAAAGGTTAGCAAAGCCGTAGGCTTTGACATTAGCCGTCCGCCTGTTCCCTCCATCTTTGGACGATTGCAACAGACTGAGAAAATGAAAAGATCTTATGAGAATAAAACACCCTGAAAGTGCTCAATCACCATTTGTTTAATGGTGATTGAGCACATATGATGTTTAACGCATTCCACTTCATTTGAATGACTTTCTATTTGCCGTGTGTCAAAGACAAAGGCTGAACTTTCTCCTGCCTGATTTCTCCAAACACGCAGCCGGCCTTCAGTGTGACAAACACGATGCTGTTGTCAGGTCCTCCCACCACCTGCACCGCACCGCTTTTAATGATGTACATCTCTTTGCCGATGTCGCCCTGCGAGAGAAGGCAATGTCATTTCCATATGTGGAAACATCAAAAACACTGTGCAGAAGATCAGAAGGTCCATTTTTACACTGTAATCACAGGGTTTTGAAAGGTGACAAAGACTCCTATACAACACTTACAACGTTAACGACTCACTTTTTTCACCACAAAGTCTCCAGGTAAGTAGACAATAGACTTGAGCCTCAGTAACATGTCCACCAACATCTGCTGGTCACAGCCCTGCAGAGGAAAAGTATATATTTAATTGACTCAATTCCAAAGCTGCAATTTTAATTTTTTATTGCGTTTGTGGTGAAAAGCACCTTGAACAGATCTATCTTCTGAAAGGTGCTCAGGTTGATGTCAACGGCGATGGCGGTTCTCATCACCAGAGGCATCTTGTCCAGCAGCTCGGACTCATCTAAATGCATCGAAATGAAACAGGGAATTTACTCAATTAGCTACTTTTGAAGTCATGTATGTAGCTACTTAAGATCCTGTTTTGAGGGAGCTGATCACTTAGTGCAGTGTGACTGACCCAGCATGCCCTGTGCATCCCAGGTGTAGGTGTACCAGGTGCGGACCCGGTTCTGCACCAAGGAGGGGATGTGGTTGTTCACCATGTAGTCCACCGTGCCGTCCATGGACGATCTGAAGTACGTCTGTGCTGCTGTGGCTGCACCGATGACGTCTCTCATCTGAGGCAAAACGAAGGTAAGAATATCAACATCAAGTGAGGAAAACATTGGTTTAAATAGAAAACTAGTACTACTGCCGTTGAAATACAGTAATTAGCACAGTTGACAAGTTTTTGACTCTGTGGGGAGACAGTGAAATACAGATGAGTGGGTTCAGTGAAACTACTGTGGCAAGGATGACGCATGATTCTCATTTGTCAGGAAAACATGCTAATTTAGAGGTGCTAATTTCTATCAGGCTTCCAGAGGAACTGAGCATTTCGGGACTTCAACACGGGCAGAGTGTGTCTCTGTGTCACCTGTCCAATCAAACTGGAGAACACAAAGACGCCCGTGAAAAAGTTAGTCATCTGAAAGGTAATCTCAAAGACGGTATGAGGTTCGTTGAGACCCCCGATGTTGATCAGACTGCGGACGGCATAGTAGTAACAGCGCAGGTACCTGTGGAGAGGGGAGAGGTGGATTAAGGGGATGAGACAAAAGGACCCATTTTAATTATCATCAGGATAAGGAATAGGAATATAAAGTTTCTGCACTTACGCACTGCCCAGACCGGAGTAGACCCATTTAGTTTTGCCGATGCCCTGGTAGTCCGAAGCCACGTAGTAGAAGCAGGCGTTGAGGTGGAGCATGAAGAGAAGATATCCGATGGTCCGAATCACTCTAATAGAAAAGTGAAGACAGTGTATTGCTCTGCATGTATCCATTCATTTTTCAATCAGGAGAACGTTCTAAAAGGCGAGTTCCTACCAGACCTCATCCACCCTGCGCTTTTCAGTTACTGGTTTTTGTATTTATATATGAGTATACAAAAATATCTAGACTAACCTCCAGATGTAAGCCTTGGCCATGATGCTCTCCAGGCGGTCGCTGAACTCAAAAAATGTGTCCACCTTGAGAATAGGAATGGCATCGTGAGCTCAGGCTACCCCAGCAAACTGACCCTTTAATCGATTGACTGACGTTTGTGACACATGATCAAGTTCACCTTCAGCAAGCGATTTATTCTGAAAATGGATTTGAATCCAAACCGCAGGTACAGCAAGTCGAATGGCATGACGGACATCACGTCCAGCTGTTGAGGAGAGACAGATGGTGTGAGGTCACTGAGGCGAGCTGGTTTTAAGATCCAGAACTCAAGCTACAGTACCATGAATCTGTCTGTGCTTCTGTAGTTCTTCTTCGTCACCACTCTGTCTTTCTGGAAGATGAAGAGAACACTGTCACATTCCCATGTCTTGAATCATTCTTAGCACCGGCCTCCATCGGCTCCATTACGTCAGACTTACTATGATGTCTCCTGCTTTGACGTACTGTTTGCGGGCCTGGAAGAGGATGGAGTCTGTGAGGTAGATGAGGTCGGCCAGCGTGTCCAGGACGAACCAGAAGGGGATGATGCCCTCGGTGTGGTACGGGAAACACAGACGGGCTGTGATGAACCAGGTGTTGTAGTTAAAGGCCAGAGTCACCAAGCTCAACCAGGCGATGTAGCGGCGGTCTGTGAACGGGTCGATGGTGTTCCCCAGCACTGGGTCCATCAAGGTCTCAACTGGTTTCAGCACCATGTCCACCGAATGCCAGCCGGCGTCTTTTAACTTCGACATCAGCGACCTCTTCATTTTCGTCTCATCTTGGGCCTCTGCTTTCTTTTTCTCCTCTTCCTCTTTCTTCTTCTGCTCGGCCTCCTTCTTCTTCTTCTCCTGCTCCTCTTTCTTCTTCTGGTCCGCTTCTTCCTTCTTTATGCGCTCCTCCTCTGCTTGCTTGTTCCTCTCCTCTATGACTTTTGTGTAGATGTCTTTGCGCAGCAAAGGTGCTGGAAGGACAATATTAAGACTGAGTGTGCCTAAACATACAATGCAGTTCTAAATATTGGATATCATTTTAAGGTGATGCAGCCTTCCGATCTCCGTGGTGTTGGTACTCACTGACAGGAGGGCTGATCTCTGGGGATGAAGCATATTGATCGACCACTTTCTCCTTGTAGAGATTCAGTCTCTCTTTCATGCGCTTGGCGATGGATCTGAGCTGCTCGTCTGCATACGCGTTGATGACAATGTGGGCAGGTGGAGGTGGGGCCGACTCTTGTCTAAAGACGGAAAATAACATCAGAATAAGGAGCCAACTTTATATTAGATTAAGGTAAATTAACTTGTTTGTTGTGTAATGAGGTAGATATTTGCATTTGTTCTAGAATAATACAAATAGTGGCCGTAATGAATATATTATAAATGTTTTATAGACAGTTGGCCTAGAGCAGCGATTCCCAAAGTGTGGCCCACCAGTGGGCCGCGAAGGTACTGCAGGTGTGCCGCGAGAGGTCATTTACAATAAATAAGTAAAATGTTTTTAATTTTCAATTTTGAAAAGTTTGAAATGAATATAAACATATTTATGATTTAAATTATGTGTTATTCTTTTATCTGACCTATTTTTTATCCGTTCACTCGAAACGGCTGCTCTTGTCCGCCTGTCGTTATTCAACAAAAGGCACCGCCAACCAAAACAATGTCAAATGGTGCATCTTGTAGTATTAAAGTAAATATATATGAGCTCCGGAGAAAATGGTATACAAAACATACATTGTCGGTTAATACATTTTTAATCGGTTAAATTCTTTTAACGTTAAAGGTCATTTAATCATCCCTAGTTTGTTGATCAGAGTTGTGATTACAGGTTTGGGTGGGCCGCAAAAGATTTTCAGATTTTAAATTGGGCCACGGCATTCTTGAGTTTGGCAACCACTGGCCTAGAGGAAACCTCTTCAAACATGGTGTTACATTAACCAGCTAGATCTGAATGTAGTCAAGACACAAACAAGCTGTTTTAACTTTTAACCTTCCTGCCCGTTAAGGTCACTTAACTGTCAATTGAGAAAATAGCTTGCAAGTCCTCCAAGCAAGTAAATAGGTACTTGAGAAGTCCTTCATCATAGAGTGACATACATTTTCTAATCATGACTGATAAAATCTAAGGGAACAGACCTTTTCTTGTCATTGTTTATGTCTATGTTTGTTTGTACGACAGCACCTGTTTTAGTAAATCAAATGTTAGAAAAGCCCCAAACAGCCGGCACTCACATTGACTGACTCGACAAAAAGGACATTTGTGCTCATGTGTCGCCCACTAGTGGAAAGAATCCAACATTACATCTGGCTGACTGTAGGAGCCAGTCATGTCACGTCATTGCATAAAACACCACAACCCGAATATGTCCAACTTAAGCACTTTCATCAAATAGCACCAATAACCTTTTCTCAACACAGTTTACAACGAGAAAAGCAGAAAGGCACACAGATGACACCGCTTCCTTTACAACGTGTAGGATGAACTATTTCACTGCTGCAATATGCTGATTTGGACCACTGTCCTCCACAGTTGAGTGCTACACATGAGTCTGGGAAACAAAGCTGTGGTTTAATCTCTGGCTGTGTATCAAACAGGGATGTCCCTAAAACAGAAACGGCACAAGTGTGCACAATGACCATGCTAAAAAATGATTCCCCTATAGGACTGTAATATTAGATATTACTATCAACTGCGTGACCCTAACAGTTCATTGGTACTGTAAATAAGGAATATGTTCATTTTATATAGTTAGAGGACAAACGCATCTAAACATCCTGTCAGCTGTGCTTAAAATGACAGAAGACTAAACTCAGAGTTTAGACATACGTATCTAAACGGTTATCTTTATTCTTCTATTTTCATCATAATGAACTTTCCTTTTTTTATATTTCAAGTCCGCTATTTGCAGATTCAAATACAGTTTTCAAAATAAAAGGCGTGACTCTGGCAATAACCCCAAATTACATTCTCAAATCTGAACAACTTTAACTGTGCGCCACATCAAGGTCCTCCTCACTGCCGCCCGTCCTTGATCATCCAGCAATGATACATTTATAACATGTCTCATCATTTGGAAAAGTAAAGTGTATTTACAATTGTGAGGATCCGCCAAATGTGTCGCCTTCATGGTTTTCAATCCTTGGCCAGAAGCTGGCCTGAAGAAAAGCTTCTTAAACCTATAAAGCTCAAAAGCTTTTAATCCACTTTCAGGTCACTCCCCGTTAATATGCATGTGGCACCTGGGGATGAAGATCGCCATGTGACGTTCACTTCTGAAGGCTTTGTCCCTCCTTCTATGGCCGATCTTTACAGGGAATGTGATTAATTAGTGTGGGTGATTGTTCTGATGCTGTTTGTGGTGTCGGTGTCTTGGCAGTCGTGTGTTTTCGTAAGCTAAAGTGCCATTCGGAGCCGTTGGCAATGAATACACTACACATACTCTCTTTAATTGCCTCCGTAATACTGAGTGCATCTCCCCTGCTATCAAAGTGTCCAATCGGGTAGAAAGAACGCAGACGAAGGCGTGTTCAGAGTTCTTTGCTGAAACGGGTGGAAACTGCAGAAACTACCAAGAGTGCAGGTCTTACCCCTCAGGACCAGCTTGATCCGGGTTAGATGGAGCTGCTATAGAAGCCGGACCGGCAGCAGGAGGTCCTGCTGGAGGAGCTGCTGCTGGTGGTCCTGCTGGAGGAGCTGCTGCTGGTGGTCCTGCTGGAGGAGCTGCTGCTGGTGGTCCTGCTGGAGCTGCTGCTGCTGGTGGTCCTGCTGGAGGAGCTGCTGCTGGTGGTCCTGCTGGAGGAGCTGCTGCTGGTGGTCCTGCTGGAGCTGCTGCTGCGAGAAGAAATCAAAATGCCATTTCATCTCTTTCAGATCAAGTTTTTGCATGGTTATTTTATAAAGCCTCGCCTTTTCTAATTTTGTATTTAATAAGATTGATTTTATTTTCCGATTTGTTTCGTTTGACTTTGTTTCCCTGTTACTTTGTTTTTGTGCTTCATGAGTTTCGTCTCTTTTGATTACTTGCGTTGAAGCGAGCTAAAAAGATCGCGGCCGACCCCTCCCACCCCGGACAAAAACTGTTCGTGCCCCTTCCATCTGGGAGGAGGCTGAGGTCCATCAGGACTAAGACCTCCCGCCACACGAACGGTTTCTTCCCGTCGGCAGTCGGGCTCATCAACAGAGCCCGGTCCCCCACTGCCTGACTATAACACTCCACCGGTCACTCCCCTTCACAGTGCACATGTCACTTTAACTGTAATTCATCACTTTGTCTCTTGTCTGTTACTTGTTCGTTAGTGCACTTTATGCTTAATATTTTTCTTTTTAACTTTTTAATATTTAAATTTTTTTTTAACTTTATTCCCTTGTTTTATACTAACCCATAGCCGTAGCCTTATTCTACTAACCCATTGCATTAGCATTTCATTCCACTTTATTTTATTACTTACTGTTGTCTTGTCTGTCTACTGTCGCGCACTAACCGCCAAGACAAATTCCTTGTATGTTTGACATATTTTGGCTAATAAATGTTTCCTGATTCCTAGAGTGATGGCATTTAATTCAGCACGAAATTGAAATGAAAAAGTAGAAAGCGCTTAAATATGGACAAAAAGAAAAGTTTTGAATGAGATAATATGTGACGTTCAAAGGCCAGTTTGTGCTGCGAATGTTATTATTGTAATAATTTAGTTTTTTTAGGGGTTAAGTTACACCTCCAAACCACTGAACGGGCTCAAGAGCTACAATATGAAATACTCACTGAGCTTGATCGTACAATGGTTACAAGACTGTATCTAATTCTGAAAGCAACACATTTAAAAAATCCCATGTATTCACTTTATGTTATGGAACTCAAAAAGTAGGGACAGTGAGGTTTGAACAGGCAATAATCTGTGCACCTCTCTGTTGATCTGATTTTATTCCTGATCAATATCTCATCATGCACACACTTGCTTGATTGGCGCCTCTTTGATATCAGCAATAGTCTTTGACTTTTGTTTTGACAAATTACAGCAGAAAGGTTGAGATAATGATTTGAAAGCGGGGGCCTTTCTAGCAGAGGGAGACAAACTCTCTTTCTCTCCATACAGTTTTATCCACAGGCCTCTGTGAAAAGAGTGAATTAAATTGAAAGGAAAGCCCATCTGACAAGAAAGAAAAATAAAAACAGACATATAATAATCCTGTATCTAAATGTTAAATGATGACTTACCCTGCGGTTTGTCCACATTCTTGTCCTTATCGGCCGGCTTCTCCTACAAGATAAATCATCATATTCCACATTGTCAGATGCTCGCCTTCATTAGTCAAAGCAAGGTCATCGGGGAGACTTTTTAATTAAGAGAGGCTTTTTAAAGAAAATGGAATTTAGCATTTTACAAATTACTCCCTTGACTGATCGACTCTCTTAAAAACAAGATGTGTTTGAGATCAAAAACATTTCAGAGTGCCCATCGGCTAATGGTGATTACAATGGTGCCCGTGAAATGAAACAGTTTTATTAGATTCTTTGTTGGCAAGAGTACTGAGCGACTCAATAGATGAGGAAGCAGATAAGAAACCACTGTCGTGATCCCTGTGGAAAGAAATTGTACCAAATTCAAATCGCGGCATTACAGATGCCAAACAATACTTTGTTTTTGTGGTCATTTTTAATTTCAGTCTTGGCTTCTCCTCCCGTCACTGACCCATAGTGAGCACCATGAAAGCTATTGGACACTTTTCTGGGCATCCAAGGAGAATAAAATCTCCTTTGGGAAACCAGATATGAAAAAAAGATGTTGCAGTTCGTATTTCGAAATAACTGTATTAAATCACTGAATATACAGCACACTATTTTCTAAGTCTCACCTCAACGGGAGCCACAGCCAGAGCCGGAGCTGCAGCTGGATCAGTGATCCCCGAAGCCACTGGCACCTGCGGGCTCCCGAAGAGACTTTTCAACCTGCCAAACATGTCCGCAATCCTAAAGGTCCATATTCCTCAGGTTAACCCTCTCTGTTCTCTCCTTCTCCCGTTTCTTCTCCTGCTCTTGTCATAACTGAGTTGGCTCCGGTGGTATTACTGCTTTTAGCATCGCTAATGCTCTTGCCCAGAGAATAGCCCCCAACATCAACATTGAAAATCCCAATAGGCTTAGAGGTGACCTCTAAAGCAGGACTTAGGTCAGCATATACAGAACGCATGTTACCAGAGCACATGTAAACGTATCGCTGCGCGTAAATAGGGGAGGTTGCAGGCTATAGGTTATGGGCACAGACCGGCCGTAAAGAATCTATCCAACAACAAGACACTTTGTGGTTACACTTTTTATTGACACGGTTATCTCGATGCCTTCAGGGATAATGTGGTAGATAAAAGGGGAGGATAACAGTTAGAATTTTAAGGTGTCACCTAAATAAACATATATAGTTGAGGACCACTACTGAGGTCCACAAATGCTTTGTGTGTCTGTCACTATAGCATCGTATGGGCATTAAAGGGGTAGTTCGGATGTTTCAAGTGGCGTTGTCTCAAATACACATGCGTATTCAGGGTATTACCCACAGTGGATGGAAATCAGTATGCACCCATTTTGGACTAAAGGCGGTGCAGCCAAAAAAAACAATTCACCTTGCAGAACAGGGGAGTCAGCGGTCTACCGATGCCCTGATTGGTGGGTTTGTATGTGTTATGGTGGGACTTTTGGTGTTTTAAGGGGTTAGTTCGGAATCACAAAATAACACAAACAGACAGACAGACGGCCTCAAGGTGGAACATGGTTAAAGCTCTGGTGGGTCGACTCAGGGTGGCAATTTTTTACGGGCTGAGTGTGATGAAACTGTATTTTTACAGTACAGTAAGTAAAGTGCAACTGATCTGAGAATTAGCAGAGAAACAAAACGCATGTCCTACAGAGAAATGTCGTAGAGCCGCAGTGCAGAGAGTAGCAGATGGGCTGGTTTGCCGAGCTGTTTGGTGTGACAAAATGAAACAATATTTTTAGTTAATATACTTGGTGGAACAAATAGTAATTGGAAATGAACAGTTAACTGACTAACAACACTCCCTGTTGGGTTTGATTTAATGTTATGAACGATATGCTGGAACGTTCTACAAGAGAAAACGTTTGAGAGTGAAGCTTTTATATTCAGCCAAAATGACATATTTTACTATAACTAGAAAATAACTAAATATGTTTGTCCGGTAAGTGAACATGTGCACGAGGCAACGGCTGCTTGAGATTATTTTTATTTAAATTCCCGGAGGGAAAACCAAAAATCACCAAAACTAAAGGCAAGTCCGCTTTGTTTTCGATATGCTCCGTTACCTCTGTTAAAGGCGGGCTGCAACGCACCAGTTCCGGTTATGCACGCGTCACCACGCTCAACAACAGTGACGTAGTCAGCCTGCTAGCTAGTTAGGCTAACACTCCAAACACGACGCTAAGTTATTTAGACCGCACTGAGATGGATTCAAAACCGAGCGGATTGTGAAAACAGTGAGTATTCTTTTAAATACGTATAAGGCATTAGCTTATTATCTAACGTTAATGCCATATTCTGAAGTTAGCAGCCTCATGCTAAGCATCAAGTTACTTTAGTGGCAAAAATTTGAAATAGTCATAATAACTTGTGATACATTTACATACTAATCACACTGAGGGACACCTATCTAATAAAGCTGAGACACGAGGCTTTTTGCATCTGGACTCACCCTTTCTGACAGCCCTCATCCAGCGTGTGGTTAAACAAAATGAATTGGGAAGGGTACGGGCACGAGAACTCCAGAGGTTCGGTTATCATTGCCGCCCTTTTCAACAAGGACCCGCCTCCCGATTGTTCTCATTGGTTCAAAACCAACCGACATGGTGGATTTATTGGTCGATCACACGCTCGTTATGGAGTGAATCGTACTCGGCATTGTCATCACAGCTTCAAGCGTTCTTTGTTGTAATCCAATAGCAGCATCTAGGGATGTCCTTTCTATCATAAAAAGTGAAAAGTAAAGTAATGTTTACACAAACTGCGGTCACAGTAAAAGTTGCAGTGGTTTATTTTGTTGTGAACCAAATTGTTTGACAAATTAGCATTCTCAGTTTATTGTGAGACTGATTAACAAACTGGAAAAATGAGGTAAGCAAAATATGTGACATGCCAAATTACTGAAACATGAATACCTATATTGGACTGAAAATTGTTCACACAGCATCATTCACTTGTCGTTGTAGTAACCTAGAGTCCTTTTTATTGTCATTATTTTTTAAAGTTTACTTTCTGTCATCGACTGCATCAACAATTATTAGAACAGTAAACCCTAACAGGCTCAATAAGAATCATCATTGTTTAAAATAATGAAAAAGAAAAAAACAACACTGTCATGAGGCAAGACGTGTTCTTAGGTTTATAGTGTTTACGTTTATTCACAAAGTGTGAATGAAGTAGAGGTCAATGAGGCATACAAAGCTAAAGAAACAATACAAAATCATAGTTCAATCTCATCATGTAATTAGCACTCTGGGCTTGACCACAACACTCTGAAACTAGATATTGAACTTCCTCACAAACAGAGCTCAGTTAGTTCTGATGTTCTTGTGCAAGGCCCCCTTCTGTTCACGTGGGGGCCCGTGGGGGAGGAGGGGGGGGGTGTAGTGGTTCCGGCTCACAGTGACATCATGAAGGTGACATCTAGTGATATCACTGTGACCTCATGAAGGTGAAGGAATTTCAATAGAAATAATCTTTAGTTATTTTCTCGTTATCTAATGTTAACTTTAACGTTCCTACTGCGAGTTGGATATGTTTAAAACAATATTCTGACCTGTCGAGACTAATTGGTTGTGTAGCTTTTCACTCAAACTCCCATTTCCTTCATAGAATTCCTTGTTACTGCGGACTATAGCCGATCTTTTTACAAGGGCTGTCGGAGCGTAATGAAAGATGAGGAGAGAGATCGCAGCTGTGGTTTTCTTCCTGAAGAGGCTCGCGAAGAAAAGAGGGAAGCTGGAGTCTCACAAGATCGATCTGTTTGTGAGAGGCTGAGTGTTGCAAAGGACAGGCATACAGGTGCTGCTGGCCGTTCTTCCCACCCGACTCTGCTGTCTTTCCATTGATGTGCACGTTCTGCGTTTTGGGCTATTTTTTTTGTGCTCTGCAGGTGCATCCGATTGAACAGTTTCCACAAGCAGGATCCGGAGGTCCTTCGGGCTTGCCGAGAGAGTGGGGTTCAGTTCAGTGCAGAATTGTATTATGCATTAACAGTACTTAAATTAACAGTTTTATTAAACACAATTTCCAAGCGTCATGGTGCCTGTGTATTTTATTTTTTACAAAAGGATCCTCAAAGTGTTGTTTGAAATATAAAACCACTTTTTTTTTTACTATTTTGTCTTTTGGCACGTTTATCTGCTAGCCTAACTGTCTGAACATCTTCAAAACTGCAATTTTGTAAAAAGCCCCCCCCGGGTAGTTGTGCTCATAGAAACCTGTCCATGGGCCCATTGTTCACCAATATATTACGCAGGTTTCATCATCAGCATGATGTGCTTCAGGCCATTTCCTCCCATAATCTCTCTCTCCATTGTCATTTTCATCATTTCCATTCAGCCCTTATCTTAGTCAGACACTCGTACGCCAGCTCGGCGTTAAGCATGAAATTACACCACTATGGCCCACCCACTCTGCCCCACATCCCGCTGCTCCATTCATCTTGTTAAGCGGGGAGCGACCAGCAAAATGCCCCGGCGGTGCAGACGGGGCTTTGCTGTAATGTGTCTCAGAGCGTTCTCGAGGACCATTGACTTGTCTGGTGCAGGTAGGAGGGAGGATGAGTGGAAGAGGAAGCGTTTTTTTTATGCCTCTTCATCTTTCCTCGGTCTGGTGATGCAGGGAGACGCGTCGTTGGATCCTCTCCATCTCTTCTATTAATCTAATTAAGCTTTGGGGATTTGGGGCTAGCCGCTGACATTGCTGAATGAGAGCTCCCTACATATTAAAAAGAGCTAATCATTTGTCATGTTTGTTGTTTTTCTATCTGTGCCCTCCAGGTATATGAAGAAAACCTTTGTTTGGTGTTAGACTTTTCAGTACGTAACTCATGCAAAAAGGAAAGTAATTAAAGGAGATGGATGACTGCAATTGCATTATGCTATTAGATTAAACCCCGACCTTTTGCCTTCTCACGCGCAGACAAACTCCACCACGCCGCCTTGACAGCAGCATGTATCAGTTTCCCTTGTCAGTCAGCAGCAGAATGACAATGGGCCTTGACACTGTTAACAGCTAGAGGTAAATTTATAGCACAAAAGTGGAGGAGGCTGAACGCTCCTGTGGCCAGTGACATATGACTCACCGCTCTAATTGGCTTAATACAGAGCTACTCTCAACCAGGGGTCTGGAAATTATAAGAAAGTCTAACCGAGGGAGGCCAATTCATAGACTAATCATTCAGGCAAATGCCACAATGATTGGCCCTTTAACAATGCCGTAAAATTCAAGCGCTGTGCCGTTTCTATGTAAAGGCGCTCCCCTCAGTGAAGAGAAGGAGGAGGAAAAGTGGCCGTTAGAAAGACGTTTGCAGTCTACTGAGAGAGAGCATTGTTTCGTTTGAATTATTCATTTTATTTCCACCTGTGTTATCTGAAGTCAACGGGTCTAAACAACTTGATCCAAGTTAAGGAAAAGGCTGCGTGAGCTCAAAAGTATATCTAACTCGACTGTGGCTGACCATAACATTTAGCTTAGCATTATCTAAGGGCTTAAGTTGAAGGCCCCCAGGTGCCCGTCAATTGCTTACCAGTAGTTTGTATTATTTTTCAAAACAGCTGCCTGCGAGCTGCAGGGTTTGAGGCTGGAAAGCCACAACAATGACCTGAAAGACACTGAGATGCTTTGGGGAAGTGGAGAGTTTCTTTGAGGAAGTAGTTCTTACACAATGTTGTTGCTGAGCCATTCTGTTTCATTACTGTCTTTGAATCCAAATAATTGTTAATAATGTTCTTTAGGTTCACAGTCATAAAAATGGTTCAAATGAATTATAAACCTGATGAAATAATGTGCTGTCTGCAATATCACCCCTGTTACGTAATTTATATTTGGGTGATCAAACGTTTTGCAGTTGGGCAGTGTTTAGTGTAGCTTGGTAATGGTGCAGAATTTATCCTCAAAGAGAATATGTAAGAAGTGGGAAAGGGCTGACTGTTGGTTCTGGAGGTGATATGAGGCCTCTGTCCTGAATGTGGAGCGCTGCACTTCTGTCTGCTACCACAGGGGGGCAGAGTATCCCTTCACATCTCTCCTCTCCTCTCCTCTCCTATGGATGATGGAAATGTTTTCATTAGAATTAGCCAGATGCTGTTGAGAAATACTTTGAACTCTCACAAAGCGGAGGAGAGTAGACACATGTGACTTATGAGCAACATCTGGTGGAGCTAAAGAACTTGTGCCAGGGAAATAAAAAGAGCCACTAATTCATCCTCAAACCAAATAATTAATCCTTCACATCTGATTCGTTCGGATGAGGCATATTTTGGGCAATGGTTATGACTGTTAAGCTTGGTTTGGAAACAAGGGTTTTAAGAGAACGATGATTATTTATTAGGTGAGGACTAAACAGAGGAGACATTTTTTAGGAAAGTTCCCCCTTGGAACTGGAGCTGTTAATCAATATTCT